TATATATATATATGATTTTTTCTAGGAAATATACATACATGGAATGTTGTAATTTTATAAGGTAATCCATAAGTCAGTTATTATAAATGTTAGTTTTGCATGCCGAATAATTTATAAATTTTCGCTTTGTAGGCAATAGAGAAGAAGAGGAAGCGGAAAATGCATGACGGTGCTTTAATTAAAGCCGAAAATGATGGAGTGCTATCGCTAGCAGATAAATTAAAAGTGAGAACCGAAAGGCTGAATGAAGCGAAAAAGAAAAGACCGAATCGTTCGTAGTGATAAATGCGAACAATCATCTTAATCATGATATAATGATATATTCGTTTGTTTATAACTGAATGATGATTTGTTTGTTGTGTTGTTTCTCAATGGATTTCTATTTGTTGAAAGCTTAAATGTTTCATTTCGAATTTGCGTTTTCGACAGGTCATCCATCTCATAGTAGTAAATATTATAGCGATAACAGGAACGAGTCCAGGAATAATTACAATTGCGAATAATAACACTAATAATTGAATAATGGTAGAGGATAAAGTTGAATTGAGATATCATTCGATTAATAGACGTCTGGTTTTTAACGTTGGATCGTTGACATGATCCTTTAAACGTAATAAGTGCTTATTCATGTTCATCTCGAAGCCATAATAAACAAACGAATCAGTTGTTTGAATTGATGAAGGAAGAGCACACTGCATGATGAAATTCAAAACATATAAGGCAAGTCGCACAGTTTATGAGTCGAAATTTTGTGGAAATATCGCTGAGAAACCGTGGGTCGGCTTGTTGTGAATACGATGTGTTGTCGGAGTGCTGGGGTAAACTGAAAACTGGCAAGAACATGGAAAGGAAGGAGTACAAACCGATGGAATGAGATTTGAAGTAGAAAGAGGCAAGTTGGGATAGCAATAATGTGTGCGGTATAGATGGTATGACGACGACTGTTTAATTCTTGCTAGAAAAAATGGGACGAACGAGTGAGCAGCACAGATAAGTGTGTGGTAGCGGCTATTCGTTGTGTGCTGAAATGATGAGGTTTTTCGATTAGGTTCCTTTTTTGGTGTATGCAAAAAATCAGCTTAACTCTTCGAAACTGTTAGCTAGAAAATGAAGGAAATTGGACATGTATAAGTGGAACGAGAAATTTTACGAGAGAATTTTCAGACTGAGAGAAGCGTGCAGAATGGGGTTGAGCAACATTCGTTGTCCATTGAAGTGTTTAATTGTTGTGACAATGAACATTAATGTGGAAGTGAAGAGTGATGCTGTGGACCTCTTCGGATTGCAGTTGTGTGTGCAACAAATAGTATGAAACCGTATTGCTCATCTTATTTAAGTCGCTTATAATTGTGATTTTCATCGTGAAACAAACAGTGGGTGGATCATGAATCGTGAAACGACTTATTGCTTCTTTAACGATAGCCTTATTCGCTTATCTGTCTAGTCTGAGAATGCTATTTCGTCAGATTATCACGAAGAAATATTCATGCCAATGTGAGGTAATGTCATATTTTATTTGCATTTTATTCGTCAACTGCATATTATAAATTTATACCTCTATCCGTACATAAAAACTGCAAATGAATATACTTATATGTGAATATAAGTACATTAGGCACTCGCTGATATTGCGTAGGCAACTACGCAATATCAGCGAGTGCTTAATGTACTTTCATTTGTAACGTTCAATTAGCTTGTTTCATTTGTTCAGAACATGATTTGTTGTACTGATTATGTTTGATAGGTCAACGATATTCACTTAACGAGTTATCAGTTTCAATAAAATCAATCCCTTTCACTTTGTTATGCATCCCAGAAGTCACCTTACTAGAAAACTCAGTCTTCGGTGTATTCATTCAATGTCTGTGTGTTAATCGCATAACCTCAAATCAAGCAAATGCAAAGTAACGAAATGAAGCTCGCACTCGAGTTAGAATTGCGACTGCTAATTTTTTAGCGGTTCGTTGATGGTTTCTTCAGTGTATCCTTGAATATGCAATCATGCTATTCGGTTGACTGACTACTGCTCTTGCAACGTCGGAAATTGCCTATCTATTGTCAATTTAGTTGTTGAATTCGATAGAACTGCGTTCCGCCCGCTTTTTATATTCAAGTATTATGTCACTGATACTTTAACTTGATTGCAATGTTGCCTTTAACTTCGACGTTTTTGTTTTGTTTTCTTGTATACATGAGTATGTATATTAGGGTTACAATTTCAGAATTTCCTAGGTCTTTTTCAGAAAGATACCTTTCTCAGATAAACCTAAAAATATTCGTTCTAGAAAATTAATTTGAGAGATTGCTGGATGAAATCTTTGTTTTTTTTCGTCCAAATCGCCTAAACATACGAATGGTGCCACTTTTTAACCAGATTCTTTCGATGAACTTTCAGAGAGACTGTTCCTGATCGTTGAGAAAATGATAAGGACAATATTAAAGAAAAAAGTAATAAGGAGAACTGCGTTCCGCTATCTTTTTATATTCAAGTATTATGTCACTGAATAACTGACCGAAATAATGCACGAATATACACAACAACGTAGAAAGTTTCGGCGTTAGAACGTCATCATTAACCATGAACGCATCACTGAAAAAGAACTATAAAGAAGTGAGATAAATGCGCGGAATAAACGTTGGAATGATAACGGAATTGTTGCGTTGAATGATAACATGAGATTTTGAATTGAGCATTGCTCATTAATGAGTTGATTTTATATTCTGATGATATTGTGTGCTTGTGGTTGGCGATCTTATTAAAACTGCTGTCTGGGTTTTGAGTGGTTTGTTTAGTTGATTAATATTATTATCGTTACACTTCCGACGAACGTGTTCTTTTCATAAATTTGCAAATTAATCATTAATGCTATTTAGTGGTTCAACTACCCAACTTTGAGAGTAATTATCGCTTAACGAGCAAAAACCCACAGCAATCGTTATACATACACATAGAGGACTAACATTACCAACCTTTCGTATATGTTAGTGATCAATTTGGGATGGGTAACAGTTTTGGAAACTTTTATGTTTTTCTTGACAGCATGTTGAAGTTGTTGCTACCGTCGTACTCCACTTCAGAACAACGATTTTTTAAAACCTATTTGAATCATTTTCCACCCATTTCAAGGCTCAGCAAACAGGCGCATTATGTTTATTTGAGTTGTCTGTTGAAGAATTCAATAGATCAATTAAATGAGCAAAACACAAAAAATATTTTGCGAATGAATTTCCCGGTTCCTGTATTCAGTTGATGTTGGAATACTTATGAGAAAATTTCTTACTTGTTTTTACCATGTCCACTAGAGTGATATGAATTGTGCACAGTTCAATGGAATGATAAAGTTAATCTGAGAAGAAAACCAATCCCTTCATCAGAGACTGGATAACTGAGTTTCAGGAGCAAATCATAACTAAATTTTTCAATATCTACTAATTATTAGACTTTCAGCTATCGCAGTTATGCGAAACTAATGACGAGTCATCCCTTTCTAATAATTTTGATTTGTGTTTTGGTAAACCTCATAATTGAGGATGATTTCGCTTAAGTTTCTTTAATTTTCGTACATATTTGTGAGGCAGCTGTGTTGGTTCCATGCTACCATATAACAGGTTTTTTTTCTTCTAGGCCGTATCAAATATTCAACGAAAAAAAAGATGTTGATAATGTTGTTTTTAGCTTTAAATGTTGTTGTTATTTGAAATGATTCAGATATCCTTTTTGATTCGCTCTCGCTCGATTGAGAGCCTAAAAAAAGTAAGTTGAATGATCCGTATCGTTGAAGAAAAACTGCCTGAAGGCTGGCTTTCTCCTCTATTCAACGTGCAGTTTGGTGATAAGTGGATTTTCGAGCCACGCAACGACGACTTGAGATCGATTTCGAATTTTAGTGCCGTGAAGGAGTCACTCGATTCATCTGATTTGTTTATATCGTCTCGTTGCTTTCATCGCCCTGGTATGTTTGTGTTCATTTTATTTTTATTCGTTTATATTCACTTTATTTCGTCATTTAGCTTTTTTACTTATCTTCATTCATTTGCTTGTTGATCCAATTACATATTCACAAGAACGTCTCTTTGCGCATTTGTATCTACTGATTATATATATGTATAGACATTCGGCACGATCCAGTCGTCCTGTTTCCATATGAGATGTCTCCTTTTTAATTTTGAATATGTTCACCAAATAGAACATCATAACCAGTACAATAGTGATAATAAACTAAGGTTCTTAATAATAAAGAATATTTTCCCAAATGAAAATGTGGTGATATAGAAACGTGGTGATATAAATTGGTTGATGTAGGATATTGATTGTGGAAATATGTTATTTTTTGAGGTATTGAAGAACTGTCATAATATGTTGTACTTAATTGAGTTCTTTCGCAATGAACGTTTCCCATTAATTTTGTTTGCTTGACTTGACAGTTATTGCTAACGACAAATCACTTATCGTGTGCAAGTGTTGCGAGAGTGAGAATTATGTTTCGCAGTGCTAAAGGCAATGTTCTTTTATGATAGCAGTATGCACAACACTAATATATTATGTGAAATGTTGAGTTGATGAATGTTCGGTTATCAGAAGTGATGATGTAGCCTTTAATCATTTCAGCTCTTTGGTGATTACGTTTGCGTCGTCAGAATATTTCCATTGCAATGTAAGAGATGAACATGGATCTATAGTTGAGCAATAAAAGTGGATCATCATGTAATTGGCATTTGTGGAACACTTCTCGAAATGAAATGAAACACTTATTCGTATCCATCTAATTTTCAATTTGAATACACACATACACACATACCTAGATGAACACCAATGTGGATATGTTGAGAATTATCTCATCACTCCCCTTTTCTGCACTCCTTCGCCGAATTGTTATTTTGTTTCTATTTGTGTTCATTGAATATCGCCACTGTCAATCATATCAACGGTCATAATTTCGTCTAAAGATTTGCTAAATTTGTTTTGTGAACTGGGATTCCGTCTTTTTATACGGTGTGTATACTGAAGTAATCATGAATGCAGTATTCAAGACTAGGCGCTCAAATTGAGTACAACTAAACGGAATCGCATTATGCAAGGTTGATTGCGTACAATATCCACGAATATATCGCTGCTTATCCGTAATACAATTGACATTTCGTTTGTGAATTGGCTTAGTATTAAATTATAGAAACAGTACATACATATTTGCCTTTTCCTCTTTCCTGGTTGCTATTTTTCACAGTTCATTCACATCGGCTCTAAAAAAGACATTCATATCGTCATTTTAATTAGAGAAGGCAGATGTTTCACTTAACTGTGATTACCTATGAAATGATTAAAGAAAAAACGAATGTATTATAGGTTGTTTCAAGTCGTGTCATTTTATTATTGATTCAGTGTGGTGTTGTTACAAAAGTATGAAGTGCTCGTCGTGGATAGCGATGGTTGCTTGACAGTCAAGGCTTACAAGAGATTTCCGTGAGATCAGATATTTTTCTATGTGAAGAAATTGATTAAGTGACTCGAGAAACGGCCTTAACAGAGATGTTCTTCAGTGGGATCAGGGGAAAGCATTATTAGCTGAACGTCCTTTGCATACACAATTTTTGCTTAGCACGAATAGGAGTAGACAACCTAAAGTTCGTTTGAATTGTTGCATATCGTGTTGGATTGATTGTGAGAAATTGATTGGATTTTGAAAGATTTGACTGAAAGTCTTAATTTGATGTTCATGATATTAGCTTCTGATGACAGTAAGCTTTGAATGCATCCTGAATTATTTTAGACAAACGCAAATCATGAATTGCAATGCTGAGACAGACAGAAATGAGTAAAATCTTGTTCATATTTTGATATTTCATCAGTGGAACGTAATAAGTTAACACTTCTCCAATTGAGCCTTTTCTATCGACACTTCTCCACACACTCCTTGCTTTTCGACATCGTTTCGTGAACTTCCTGAGAACGTATGTGTCACGACTATTGAGTCGTGAGACAATTTTAAGTAATTAAAAATGATATTTCAATTATTAGAATGAATTAATAACAATATTGTCGAACAAAAAAGGAATTTGAATTGGATTGAATAAATTTATTAGTGAAGAACACAATAATATGATGCAAACAATAGTCGATTGGAGTGGTTGGGTTGATTGGAGCTCGAAAGCCAGCAGCCTTTGCTTAGGGTAGGTTGGTTGTCACACTTGGAGGGCGGATTGATGGGAGGTCTCCGAGGGGATGGGGTGCCCACAGCCTTTACTTGGGCAATATATTTTTCACACTGGGGTATCTGTTATGAGGCGAACCCGGAGAGGGGCGGGGTTCTCCTGATTGATTACAATATGCGAATTCTGGTTGATTACAATATGTGATTGATAAGATTACAATATGCGAAGTTTGGAAAGGATGTGCCGCTTATTGCGTCAAATACGCACATAAATTCGGCACAACAAAGACACAATTGTGGGATAAGCAAACTTTATGATGGGGTTAATAAATGGGAAACGGATAGTTTAAAGAGATGTCAATTGCTTTTTATATAAGTGAGATAAACAATCAATGACCTATCAAATACTATTTAATGAAGATAAACAATCGCATCAATGATCACTATCTAATGACTTATTAATTCGCTAGCATGCGACAAATATTGTTAGTTTGATTGTCAGTAGATTGTTTACGCGAACAGCCACTGAGTATCATATGGCAAGCTATCCCTCAAAGAATCAGTGAGAAAATGTCCGGAGGGATTGATTGATATGATAAATGTGATTGTCATGCCGACTTTCAAAGAATTAAGAGTAATAAGGCGGTGCTGATGATGATTAGGAATAAATTAGTATAAAAGAAGAGTTTTATCATTCATAAGTTTATTTGCGTGGAGTTGGAATGACATCATACAGCCGCATGATGTACTTAAGATAACTTCTTATTTTTAGTTGATTTACTATTAGCATTATAATCTCGTTCGTGATTCGTATTATTGCGTGAGGTTCAATCACTCAAGTTTGAGGTAATTTTGCGAATAAACATTGAAACGATTACAGTGTGTAAGCGGTTTATGATCCCAATGTGTGGTCAGTAGTGAGGAGAATCTGCAATTTCTGAGTTATTATTCAACGTAAGCGTATTATCCAACCCATTTCTCCACTGTTAGATAGGTAAAACTGTACGAGAAATTGGGCACTCGCAAGGCGAGTCGTTTACGGCAGCAGGGTTCACGAAAGCGTGTTTGTGAGGAAGGAAAAAAAAGAGGTGCCTACGGGACGAAAGACCAAACACTGGGTGATTTGAGATGCTGACGTAATGCATTGCGTTAATGGTACATATAAAGAAACGATAGTTGTTGAGTTAGAAAAACATCTCGAAATGAACTGTCATCATCAGTAATAATAAGTTTTGGCTTGAGATTTGAATCTGGTTCGTTGAAATTGAATGTTTTTGCCCAGAACTGATCGATTAATGTTGTGCATGAATGATGGGTAATTCACACGGTACAACAACCGAAACACAATCGTCTGACCAAAAACGACGTCGACTCGCTGAATCGCGACGACTCTCTGCGCCAAGCTGTCGAGGACGTCTCGCGATAATGGTATACTTTGTGTTATTTCCTTCAAAATTCAGAAATTATTGGTAAAAAAATTTAACGATAATGTTAGCAATAGCAGTAATAATATCAATAGTAATATTAATAAATAACAATTAAAATAATGCTGGGAGTTTCAGCATTGTTATGACGACACCACCAGCAATAATAATGGTAATAATACTGCGAATATTGACAATAATAATAAGTGTGAGACTACCGATAATGGCACCAACAATAACAGTCAACCATTGCTGTTGCACCATTGTAAAAGTACAGATACTAAGCCAGTTTTATCAGTTGATGAATTGAATAAAAAACCAATCATTCAAGTGAATGGTGAAGATTCTTTAGAAGATGGAACTTCCATGCCTCAGGTAAGATTTCGCCACACTTCTAATTTAATCAACGCAGTGCTTTAAGTGAGTGAAACTTTTTTTTTTCAAGTCCGAAAGCCGTCGCTTCTCATATCACTTTTCTCTATGCGTCCATCACGAACATCCCATCTATCACTAGCGCATCATATCCGTCTAAAACTTGAAAGGTTTCTTCAGTGAATAGGATGAAGCAGCACGCACAGAGAATGACAGATTTGAGACAGTGTAAACACTTAGAATGCGACAGAATTGTTAGTGATCGTAATAAATCCACTAGCGCGATTACAAACGCTTTATTCACTTCACTTTCGAGGATTATTGTAATCCGTTTAGGTCCAATGCTTGCAAAGGTCATGCATGACAATTTTGACCTCAAAGTTGGTTTTTGTGTTTCTAAATCCACAAACTTAGTCTTAGAATCACAACAGTGAGACGATTTCTCTCACAACTCGCTCTTTAATGCTATCAGAAGTTGTAGTATAATCAATTCGGTGTGTGACCGATCGTATGAATGCATGTAGCCAGTGACCTTCGAATGAGAGAGATCTTAGTCTTGAAATGTTTTGCTCACTTTGAACACATGATTAGTTAAACTATAAGAGTGCAGATTTTTGTATTTATTCAACTTATGAACGATCAGTTTCGAATAAATGAAAGTGGTTCGATTCGATCACAGATCGTTCGCTGCTCACTGATGATGATTATTGAGGCGTGCAGCAGTAATGCAGCCGAAAGACGATGGAAGTTCTTGAATTCGTCGAATCGTATTGCAATGAGAAGTCTTGAAGAAGGAATCGACGGTGATGTTCAGTTAACGATGAAACCTTTAAAAGATCGTGCCAGATCGCTATCACCCTTGAAACAACTTAGGACTTATTCGTTCCGCTCAACACCCTCTGAAGAAAGCTTTCTTTCTGATGTGGTATAGTTTGCAGCTGTCATTACTGTCATTATTGATATTATATCAATATGGTATTATTATTATTGTTTGCAGCAACAATATTGGATTAAACGTTCATGGTGCTCAGTAATTGACAGACTGCGGAAGGAGAACCGTGAGTTCGGGTTTTTTGTGCTGAAACGTGTCTTCGATAGAGCACCACATCTTAAAAGTGCCTTTTTATCTCACCAGCAGATTTCACTGGAGGAATTACCACCAAACCATGCTATTCATCGACATTTACATATTCTCACGAAAGTTATCGACCTCGCGGTTCGTTCTTTTTACAGTTTCATGTGATTAGCTCTAAGGTTTTCTTGATTGCTCAACCATCATAACTTTCTTGGAAAGTGAAATCGCTCCAACTATATTTCGGTACGGTCAACGACATTATCATAACAGATCGGTACGCTGTGCTTTTTGCAATGTCTAATTTCTTTGTTACTTGCATTGCGATCAGAAAGTATTTTCATTAACTTAGATACATCGAGTAGGCATATTTGTGTTTTACAAATGAAATGACTCACACAATATAAAATGCTAATAACGATAATAAAGATAATAATAATAATAATAATAATAATAATAATAATAATAATAATAATAATA